AAATAAAATAAAATAGATAATATGCATCAAAATATATTGAAACTGTATAGGTACAGTAAAGTAATACCCTTACAGTAGAAAGTACTTAGAAAGTGCTTGTTAAACTTATACACATAACATCCCTTGCTTTTATAACACATTTCAAAACAAAGTTGCAAGGTCTTTAAAAAAAAAAAAAGACCCAGAACTTAAAACATGAATAAGATCTGTTTAATAGTTACAAAAAAAATGCTATTACTTAAGAAAAAGCCACAAGATAAAAGTGAGTATCGGAATGTAAAGGAATAAGTCAAAACCTACCCAAGGCAACAGCTGCCAGAATCAAAACAGGAAAATATCCGGGACAATGCAGCGTCTTCCTGCGCCAACAGTCTCTGATGTCAGTCCCATAATCTTCCAGAGTTTCCGCCATTGTCATGCAGTTGAACTAAAAGTAAACAACAGGCATTAGCTAGTCATCAAAACAATCTGTGGAGTTTATGGGTGAACTAACTGACTTTGGTGTGGAAACACTCTCAGACATACCATATAATGTTACTGACATTTAATTAAACACATGGTTTTCATAAAAGCCCTATGAGTTTCTTACAATTGTTTATAACAGCATAACACATATAGTTTGTTTAACTTTTTGCAATGATAATCCTTTACTAAGCATTTTTTTTTTTAAATCTCTGTGTGGAATAGGCTATGAAACTGCATTTAAATACTAACTTGGCGTGTTGGGAGTCCGGTCGATGATTAAATATGTTCTTATTTTAGAAAAAGTAATATAAAAAGCAACATAATCACAAGGAGAAAAGGTTGTACATGTGGAGTAGTGTGAACCTGTTGTGTTCCTTTCTCTTTTTTGCATTTTTAATGTGTTTGTTGAATGAAAAATAAAGTGTTATATATTATGTAAATGATCAGGACATGTTTACCGTTTTCCTTTAGAATTTGACCTTACTTAGTATTAAACGAAAATATAGCACCGCCCCTAACAAAGGGGAGTCCTCACACGGCAGGCGTGGGGGTTTAAAACGAGTGCGCCTCTCCATGACATCAGCATCTTTGTTTACAGCCTGAACTTTGAGTTAGCATTAGCATTAGCTGTCTGCCGGGTTCACTGTACAGGGTGTGTTATTTCACTGTGTGGTTAATATTCTGAATCAGAAACATGTCGGGTAACGGAACTGGACCTGGAGAAGACTCCACAGACGCAAAGAGTGTCGATGGACAACAGTAAGTCACGGTTTAGTTATTAGTAGCTTTTCAGATTTGTATCTATTTAAGCTCATTGTTGTCCTCTACAAGCAGGCAGTGATGAGGAAGCTGCTCTTCTTCGATAACATATGTACTACCGCTATATAGCATCCTTACAGGCTACTAATTAGCATCAATTCACCCGCTGTTTCTCACGTATTAGCTGTTGTTTGTAAATCTGCTGTTTCAGCATGGTGTTATTAATGTGAGTCACTTCACTCATGCAGGCCTGGGACTCACTCTTTAAATGTCCTCATGGCTCTTTCTTTGTCGTGCATTAATTATAATGTGTTGTTATCATAGACTGTATATATATATATATATAGGTTGCTATCTTCCAGTTAAAGTAAATATGTGTGTTCTGGTTTTGTTTTCCTTCAGGCCATCGTCTTTGTCTGCTTCTGCCTCCATGGATGTGGACGCCAAGCCCAGCGCCCAGAGCTTCAGATACAGTCTGAACTTCCCCTGCATCGGCCAGTGCATCATCATCAACAACAAGAACTTTGAAAGGAGAACAGGTATTTTATTTTGTCTTGTATTGGTCAGGGCTATGGTCAGTTTGTTTACGAATGACACGTATTCAAAATGAAACAGCTCTGAAATTAAATACATGTTCACACACGTTACAGGTCCTAATGAAGCCTCTTGTTTGTAACCTAGTGCTGAAATGCTTGAACAGACATTTTAGGCAATCCAAGCACCTAAGGGCTGGGCAATATATTGATAATGTGATATAACAGTAGATCTTTAACATCATCTTAGTTTTGGATGTCATAATATTAGTGTCTTTTACTGGTTTTAAAGGCTGTATTACAGTAAAGTTATGTAATTTTCTGAACATACCAGTTGGTTTTATAACTTGCCTTTACCCATTTGGTGATTATGGCCACATTTCAGATTTGTTTTAATAAAAAAATCAATAGTCAACCCTTCATTATCAGTGCTATATCGATAGGTATTTCATCAAAAGTATTGTAATATTTATTTTCTCCATATGGCCCAGCTCTAGTGGTAACACAAGGGTGAATATTTACTTGCTTTTTTCTACTCAGTTTTATTATATAGCAATCATATATGCCCTTGGGTTTTTAACAAAACATCTGTTACGCTCTAGTGATTATATGTTTTATTCTCAGTTATTATCAAGATGTAATTTATAGCAACAAGGAAGTGAACGTATATACTTTACTCCATCTTTTATTCTCTTGATGTCAGGTTCATGGTTATTTCCAGCACTCCAGAAAAAGCCACACTAAGAGCCATTTTGAAATGCTTAGTTAGTCTTAGCTAAACTCACACCTTAGCCCAAGGTTAAAGTTTGGCTCAAGTGTACACTCTTAAATATTTTATTAGGTGTAAGACGTTGGTTGGCTCTATTTTCTCTGTCATCTTTATGAAATTGTTGGAATGCTCGGGACCACATTTTTACTTTTACTTCTGTACATTTCCTGCCAGTAAATGACATGTTCTGTAACAGGTTCTGTACAGTTGGCTTTGTTGATGATGAAAGCAGGCAGTACTTATCCTATGGTAATGCATTATTGCTTTTTACAAGACAACTCAGTAACTCCCAGTGCATCTTACTTTCAGTAGCTCTTTATGAAGTTCAGGTTTCCACATGACTTGCAGTATGGTTTGCAACAGACGGTTCGATTAGTTCCTCTTCCAACTGTAGTGTGGAGTGTGGTCTGTTTTTGAGGATGTTAATTCTGTTTGTTTATTTCAAGACGCAGCAACTTTGATATTGTGGTGTCTTGCTCAAGGGTGGCAGGATACAGAACAACATTAAAGATATTGACATAAGTTTCCTTTTATGTTTTGGTTAAGGAGGTACACGTCTGAGTCCCTTTGAGGATCTATAGGATATTTTTCATCCAGCACTTACTGAGGGTATAAAGGCCTGCTGTCTACAGTAGTTAAAGATAATGTATAAACCTTGAATTGACCTTAGTACTTTCCTTTTGTTTATGGGCATTGTGTAATATAAGCTTGCAAAGCTGAGAAGCAGTATTTTCTGTTATTGAAAGTCTGCCTCTATTATCTGGCTGAGAAGACCTTGGATATGAATGCAAGTGAATACAGCTTCAGAGTTACTGTATGATGGTCATATTTTGCCATCAGACTTGTGTTTAACAAACCCGTCTAGCAGGACTAACTGAGTACACATGACTGCTTGGTCAACACTGTTCAACATCATGTATATCATAGGAGTGAGTGGGGTAAACGGCAGAAGTGGTTACGCCTGTTCAACCACGAAAATGTTGTGGTTGATTTGTGCACATACATTACATAACATACAGAGTTACGTCTTGAGATGTACTCTTGAGATGTACTCTGTAATCCCCCACGCATGTTCCCAAGACTATTGCGTCATTATGTGCAAGAGCCAATGAGAGAAGGCTCGTTGTGCACCATAACCTCACTCTGACAAACAAAACAGGTGACCATAGTTACAAACTAAACAGGTATTATTCAAACCTGAACACAAGGGACACAGATGGACGGTGGCAGGACGGCTATTTAGTGTCCGAAAGTAATAGAAAAGTAAAAAATACAATATTTAACGAGAGAATAATTACTTGTGTGAACAGAAAGGTTTAAGAATTAACTTTGCCATAACAGTAGTAAATAGTACTAGAGAATATTGATACAAATCGTTTTTGAGTGACTACAAGCAAATTGAATAATTTCTAATAAAATCTATATACACGATATTTTAGGGATCTTTTGTTCTAAACTATTTTTCATAGAAGACGAGTTAGTTTGTCATCGTAGGAAAAGCACAGGTGTTACTCATCACATTAACGATGGCTCTGTTCATTTCAAATGATCAAATCAGCCATCACACTGACAGCAAATCCTTTTCAGCCATCAATCATGTTATGATTTACACCTGTGTAGGTGTCTTTATGTTTTCTGGCTGATTATAGTGAAGATATGTGGAGCTTATGTAAGGTAACCAGACATGTGCTCATGTACTGTGTCATGTACTCATAAAAAAAAAAGGGTGCACTCAAAAAACTCACCATTACAGTGCGGGTGTGTACAGGTTGGGCGTGCGCAAAGAAATCCTCATACGTTGCTCTGTGCCTCATAAGCAAAAGACCCTGGGTAACAACGGCATCGTAAAAATAACAGAATGAAGAACACGTTTTTTACGGCTTGTCATAAATAAATCTAAACGCCACCACACAGTCACGAGAAGAAGTTTAAATGTAATAATTAAAATAATGATATGAAAACAAATCAGTATTAAGTGCATACAGAATGTTTCTATTTTTATGGCTGTTTTTTTTTTTTATTGTGTTCAAGTAACCATATTTTCTTTGTTTCCTTAAGGCATGAATCAACGAAACGGTACAGATGTAGATGCAGCCAATGCGATGAAAGTGTTCGGAAAGTTGGGTTATAAAACAAAGGTTTACAACGACCAGTCAGTGGATCAGATGGTACAGGTTTTAACTTCTGGTAAGTTGATGACGACTGTATACAAAATGTGTACATACACAAACAAATACTAATTTACTTTTCACATACGGCCTTTGAATCCTCTTGGACAAAATATATTAAATGCTATACTATTTTTTTTTTTTTTATTATTATTTAGCGTCAAAGCAAGATCACAGCTCTTACGCCTCATTCGTCTGCGTCTTGCTGAGTCACGGAGACGAGGGCGTGTTCTTTGGTACGGATGGTTCAGTGGAGCTGAAGTTCCTGACATCACTTTTTCGAGGCGATCGCTGTAAATCACTGGTGGGAAAACCCAAACTCTTCTTCGTCCAGGTACGATTCATTTTCTTGCTTTTTCCCTCATGCACGTACTAACCCTTAAGTTTTGCTACTGTCTAACCAAGTCTTGCTTTGTGTGTGCGTTCACATTAGGCCTGCAGAGGCACCGAGCTGGATGCAGGCATTGAAGCAGACAGCGGAGAGGATGGCACTACCAGGATCCCTGTGGAAGCTGACTTCCTGTATGCCTTCTCCACCGCCCCAGGTTAATACTCATACACACAAACGCATGCCTTTTCGTATACTCATCAAAATCGTTTTGCTTATTGTATTGATCCATCGTCTTTCTCTCATGTGTCTGTAGGCTACTACTCATGGAGGAACACCTCGAGCGGGTCCTGGTTCATGCAGTCCCTGTGTGAAATGATCAGCAAATATGGAAAGGAATTGGAGCTCCAGCACATCCTGACCCGAGTGAACCACAAGGTGGCAGTAGAGTTTGAGTCTGTCTCCTATTCATCAGGCTTCAATGCAAAGAAACAAATCCCATGCATAGTGTCAATGCTGACCAAAGAGATGTATTTTTCTCCTTGATGTCTCTACATCAGAAGACATCAGCCTTCATCTGCAGAAGAAAAGCTTGAGGTTTTGTTTGTGAATTATTTTAGTTTACATTGTCTGACTGAACGTCAGCTTACATGTTTGGGAGAGTAAATGGGATGCAGAGTCACATTTCATACGCTTGGCATTATAAGGATATTTCTGTTTGGATTTAAGTTATTAGGCATTAAAAAATGTATGACTGCAGGAACACTTTTATTCTCTTTTAAATATTTAACCTTAAAAGGAGATTATTTAAAAAAAATGAAAAAAAAATGTTAAAAGAACAATCATGAATATAAAGATAAAAATGTAATTGATCATGTAATTCCAAGCTCACTCCTTTCTACCAGTGGATGCCTCTTTGCTGTTTACACTATACACATTTCAGGGAAACCTATTGGGAGCCATTTTGATAGAAAGTTTGACCTTCTGTGTGTTTGATCATGAAACCCTGTGTGCTTACTGCCCTCCAGCCTCAACCTTTTTCAGAGTCAGCAGATTTTTTAACTTTTGAAGGGATCATGTGTGATTTATGTGCCTGTTTTTTAATTTTCTTTACATCCTTAGTCTTTTTTCATTCTCGAGTCACTGTGGTGGCATCTGACATGAAGGTGGAAGAATAACCTGATACATTGGGTGAAGCCTAAATGAATGTTGCACTTGTGTTGCAAATTCAAGAACATCTACTATGCTATATTGTGTAAGGTTGGTTTTGAAGCTCAGAATTATATTTTCAATGTTTTTGTTTTGTTTTATATGGATTTCTTTGAAATAACTGTTGCTGTGAATGTCTTTTTTACATTAGCCAGTGTCAGGCTTCATAGCATGCATGAGCAAAGCCAGCCCACACGCAAGATGCTTTCATTCACATTCACATACTTGAACACAAGTTCTAATTTCTTGATAGACAGTAGGTAATCTATTTCTTGTTTTTTTTTAACATATGGCAAATAGGCCGCCTTTCCTCATTGCTTCAACAGTTACATGCATTAACTTCTTAAACAATAATTTCCAGTGGTCTGTTGTTGAACTGTGAATCCAACTTTTATGTGTAACCTAAACCACTAGCATTGAGTGATTTATAAAAGATGAAACACAATTTGATTGTGTCCAGGTGCTACTCAGTCATGAGTACATTTTCCAATATTTACAACAAACTAGCTGAAATCCTCTTGCTGTTAAAATCACTCACAGTTGTTTGACAATCTAGTTTAAGTCCAATATATTACACTCTTTGGGATGTCTCATTTTGACTTATTCCAACTCCATAACTATTCGTATGGAGTTATACTGTGAGATAGGTGTTGTGTTTCCATACAAAATAAAAACCAATTTCCGTTATGTGTTGTACTACAGTGTTAGTGATTTTGTTTTTGGCTCTACAGTAGCATATCTCCATATATTACCAAAGTGCTCACTTTCCATCAAGTCTTGCTATTGTTGTTCATGTCTCATAAAAAAATCTAGTTAACCTTTGACAGCACAGTAACGTCTACTTGTGCACGCTGTCTTCAGTGTAAACAGGCAGGATTACTCCAGATTTGGCATGCCTCTAGGTGAGAAAAGCTGGGCCAGCAGATCCTGAGGCCTCCGTTGCCTCACTGCCAGCACAGATGCACTTAACCTAAACTAGTCCTCACAAACAAGAGGCTTACACCTGGTATCTGGAGGACATACTGATACAAACGCTCACAGCTCAACAGCTACACACACCAGCAATATAAAAGCTCCCTGAATACAATATCATAGTGTACACACATTCAAATTCTTTATTTTGGTTGAAGTTACGATTTTAGTCTTGGGATAAAAATCTGTAGCACGGATTGGATTTGTTTTAAAACATGATGGTTTCCCATTCTTGAGGCACACCTGTACAAAATAATGCAATCTAGTACAGCAATTATATATACTTTTAAAAACATTTTTTATGGTGATGTTTCACCTCTATGGTTTTCTTTAAGTGCCTTTTAGATATTTGTGTTATTTATATGACTATTATTCTTACTGACTTGTGTTAACTTAAAGCAAGACAACTTGCCCTTTGGGGACAATAAAGCAATAACGTTAAAAATAGTTACGTTTATATTGCACTAAATATGCGGTTGTATGTTTCTCTTTTTATTTCACTTGTTCGTAATTTGATTGTGCAGTTAAAGCCAATCTACAAAACTTGTTTTGGTGTTTTAGGCCCGGTCAACCATTTCTAACGAAGAGGCCTGACACTGATGATCATTGATCTTGCTAAGTGTAAAGTAGGAGTTTACGTGTGGTCCTTGAACGCAGCACTAGTCCTCGCCTCTTTGTCGCTGAAAATAGTCCCTAATACTCTCTGACAGTCGGGTTTAGTTGGCTGCAGAGGACGGTGTGTCATGTTGCTAATTTCCCTGATTTTACATGGAGCACCTGTACTTATGCTTATTTTCAACGTCGTTCTGCAAACTCCGAATAAGTTCATGCGGTTTTCTTTTACTCTGTAATCCATTGCTTTAAATATGTGGAAACCTGTTGAGATTATCAGGCAGTTTGGGGATAGAAAATTAAGACATGCGCGGACAAAACACCGTTTTATAGTGAGTGTAATATTTGTTTTGATACGGTCCGTCGTTAACTTTGCCTGAAGCAGGAATGGAGAAGTTCCTACAGGTCACTCCTCACTCTGTGGCTCTGGTGCTGTCGCAGCTCGGCGGAGAAGATGAACCGGACCCCCCATCATCATCATCATTTTCATCACCACCGAAGTTACAGCAACGGGTCACCGGCTACGAGGTGTTCGCTAATTTCAAAGCCGTAAACATGCAGCACTTCTGGAACAAGGCTCTGACCCTGGCACTGACCGAGATCTTCTTCCTCGGATGGATAGATGAGCACGTGCTGCTGATTCAGGGACAAGAGGTTCACCTGCAGGTGCTCAGGAACGGATGGACCAGGCGGACCCTCAAAGCACCGCAGGGCTACGACATCCAGTTCATAGGTGGGTATGCTTGGAGTGAGGGAAGTACTCAGATATTTTATCTACATTGTAAAAAATGCTCTGTTACAAGTTAAAGTAATGTATTCAAAATTGGGTACCACTTTACAATAAGACTACCCTTATAAAGGGTTTACGAATAGTTTGTAATTCATTTATTAATTAGGTTGTGAACACTTTATTAATCATTAATAAGCTTTTATAAGACATGAGATAAACAGGGCAACTGTGACTGGTTGCTTGCCAAATAGTGAGCCCACATTTATCTGTACTGCTAAGTCTGATATTGGCTACTTAGCTTACTTCATCTTCTTCATCAGCCAGTATCCTTGGTATCTGTTGTTCACTGAGTTGATTCTCGATATAAGGCTTAGTCATCTTGCCAAATAGTGAGCCCACATTTATCTGTACTGCCAAGTCTTATATTGGCTACTTAGCTTACTTCTTCATCAGCCAGCATCCTTGGTATCTGTTGTTGACTACGTTGATTCCCGCTAAGTAGCCAATATAAGGCTTAGTCATCTTGCCAAACGGTTAGCCTATGTTGATGTTTGAAAACTATGTTAGAACTGTTTTATAAATGGTTCTTAATGATTAATAAAGTGTTTACAACCTAATTCATAACCTAATTATAAACCCGTTATGAATCCTTTATAAGGGTAGTCTTATTGTGAAGTGGTACCCAAAATTGTACTCAAGGAAAACAAAAAAGTATTGGCATCAAAATATACTTGATGTATACAACATTTCCAGTTTGGCCCATGATTTAAAAAAATTACATTTTTGTATTTTAATCATAAATGCATTAATGTCAATGTTGCACTTGGTGAAGGTGGAGCTTATATTTTACTTTATATACTGGTAGCGGTAGATAGATATGAGGTAATTTAACCTATAATAATACATAATAATGTATTGTTTTATTTATATTCGCTATGATAAATCCATACTGCAAAGTAGCTAGTAACTAAATACATATTTTTTTTAAGAGTGGAGTAAAACATTTGTCAAAATTGCCTCCAAAAGTAAAAGTATAAAGTAGCATAACATGTAAATACTCAAGTGAAGTAAAAGTATCCTTAAATTTGAACCTCAGTAAAGTGCTTAAGTAAATGTACTTTAAACCTGACAGATTTGGCCTATAACAACGTAATCTGTCTGGATGATACAACATTAAGTGATTTAAACTTTGAATTCTGGTAGGGTTATGTTACATTGCTGTATTACCCCCTATACTGTGAATATTTATTTACTGAGACATTAAACTTTGACTCGAAATGACTGAAGTAACAAAGATAACTCCCTAAAGACTTAAGATATAAACAAAGGTCTTAGGGTTTTACACCATAAAATCCCAGAACAATAAGAAATAGCTGCACACTTGAATTGTTTTTCGTTTAAGCCCCATTTCAGACATTGTGCACCTTAATAATGGAATTAACTGCAAACCAAGCACTAAAAGAGACACCAACTATTTTAAGAGACTTTAAAGTTATAATTAAGGATTTTTTATTAATACTTGCAAGTGTTAAAAAGAATTAGACCTTGTTCGCAACGAATGCATGCGGTTTTGTCCTCGGTCTACCTTGTAAAAAATATCTTGAGTTCTTTTGTTACTTCACCTTCAAACTAAGTGCCACAGTCACAAAGAACCAGAGAGGAAAAACAAGCTCTAAACTCAATCTCTCTAAATAGAAGACCGCTTTTTCATTTCAACTACTTTTTTCGTTCAGGGTCTTAATCAGGCTGCCTGACAAGACTGAGATGTGGACTTTTTCTTAATTGACATAATAGACTAAAGAGTTTCTCAATGTTTGTTTATGAGACTGTTGCCTTTAAAAAAAAATACCCTTCTGACAGTTTTATCTGCGGTTTGTGGCTCTGTGAAAATAATTCCCCTTGAGGTTATAATGTATCGGTGAGTTAAGAAAAAGCAGTTGCATGAAACTAGTCGTAGCTAGTCCGATGAGAGAGTGTTTAGGCAGCATCTAACCTTATAACCTCACCTAATTCATATCAGGTAGACTTACTCACACAGAAAAGAGAAGACAGGGATTCATTCCCACACTCATACTCCTCTTCTTCTGACGAGGCTATAACTCATGTATGTGCTGAGACAGGTTTGGACGAATTGAGGTATTGTCTATTCCAACTGCTGCACACATCAAACTGGCCTCACAACCTTTCTTATCTGACTGTGATTGTGTGTGTGTGCAAATGAGAGAGGCGTGCAGAATGTCATAGAATACCTTATTTATGTGAGCCTCCGTTTAGATTGTCAGTGTCATAGATGAGAAGCATCTACAGTAGCTGAGAAAACACAAAAAGACAGAAAATACTCGATGC